CAAATTATCAGATAAATAACACTATCCAATTCATCATTAAGAAATCCTGTCTTTTCGACTGTCAGGATGAAGTTTCGATTTTATAAACGAGCTGTAAAAAATTCATGAACTTAGCACGTGTAAAAACAAGTAATCACGTTACATTTCGCACAAGTTACAATAATTATGATGTCTGATATAGTAAATGAGGAAACTGTTCGTATAAAAGTTATACCGAACAGAATAACTCACCTGTTTTTGTAAATCAAATAAATATAGGATTAAACATTACACGATTTATTGTTAGAAGCATTTTTATCACAAGCTGAGATACCCGTCCTTTGTCCAGGTTGTGAGGTGGATGATATGATAAATAACACAAAAATCCTAACTTTCACACAGTTTATTTATAACATAACATAACAAGTGTTCATTATTACCTCACCCAACGTTCTGTATAGGCTTTAAAAACTCAATATGTTTATACTTAAAACATAGTATACACTGTGTGATGGTCAGGGTGATTTTGTATAAAGAAATAGTGGCCAAACTAATGGTGGTAGAGGTGCTTTCAACACCCACATCTTAATGTCCTTCCACACTGTTTAACGTTATTAATTAATTAACGGTCATTGGCCGCAGAAGTTGTAAGGTCACGGGTCAAAATAGGAAGTGGTTATAAGTCAAGAAACGGTTCTTCGTATCAACGTTATGGTGGCTGTTGTCGTATCAACTTCATCTGAGTTTATGTGTTATTGCGATAGTGGCGGCTATATTTTTTATTGCATAATTCCATATACTTCTACGAATAAATCGTATATAATCTGTATATCAAGCACAAAAATCTGTGTCCCTATCTGTTTGTCTCTTATCTAACTACTCCTAGGTCACTGGACCAATCTCAAAACAAATTTTGTGGGATACGGTCTAGACCAAGGGACGTGTTAGTGGAGTTCACAACCTCCTCCACCCCATAATTGAGAATTTATTATCTTTGATGTAAGTTAAGGTCAACTACATTCGTATATACCGCCACGTTCTTACACCAAATAAAAAATACTCTACTAAATTTTCCGTCGGTAAGTCCTCGCATTTACAACACTAAAATCAAGGGGTTGATTCCACTCGGTGGACACGGCAAACAGCTCTATGTGCCTTTTTATAAGAAAACACACATGCACATTAAATGTTCTATAGCACAACATACACAGTGTGTGTGTGGGGAGGGGAGGCACACAAACGTGTTATATGTCTCGGAGAGCACGCTAGTACTCTTCATATACAATAATAAAATACTTCTCTGGATAAATCATATACAGTAATAAAATACTTCTAGGAATAAATCATATGCAATAATAAAATACTTCTAGGAGGACATCATATACAATAATAAAATACTTCTAGGAATAAATCATATACAATAATAAAATTTTATCCAGAGAAGTATTTTATTATTGTATATGATTTATCCAGAGAAATATTATATTATTGTATATGATTTATTCCGAGAAGTATTATATTATTGTATATGATTTATTCCTAAAAGTATTATATTATTGTATATGATTTATTCCGAGAAGTATTATATTATTGGAAAATGTTCTCCGTATAACATCTCCAGAACATGTGTTTTGTGAATATCTGATACTTTTCTGGCGAATACTGGACACTTGAATAACACAATGTCACGCTAAATTAATAACATGATCATTAGGATCTCCCCGTAGTGCTACACCAAATTAGTAAAATGATCATTAGGTCTTACACCATATTGTTAAAATTAACATTCATCTTTATTTATGATTATATATTCAACTACCCTTAGTATTACATTAGATATCACTTCTGAAAAAGTAACTGAAAATATAATAGTAACTTCGTCATGATCTGCAGGATTTTGATCAGAAGAGTTACTGCGCATGTTTGTTGGATATACTCGAAGTACAACCGTTGTCGTCACACCAATTGTTGTGGCTGTAGGACTCATTCCTGCAATTTTCCACTTAAATTACGAGCACATTTCGCAGGAGTTCAAAACAAAAACCTGTTCAAAGATTAACTGTGGCCATTTTCAGTCGCACATATTAAAATTAAGACTTATCTTACCCGACATATGAAAGCTTCGAAATATTATCTTTCAAACAAATATAGACTAACACCAGTATTATAATTTGTTTTGTGGTTTTAATTTCTTGCTGCCCATCACTAGCAGCTCAGCAATAAATCTGAACCCTAAAAATCTGGTTTCGGTATTCCCAGTGGGTACAGCACTGGTTTGGTTCGTTTTGAATTTTGCGCAAAGCTACACGAGAGCTATCTGCGCTAGCCGTTCCTAATTTAGCAGTGTAAGACTAGAGGGAAAGCAGCTAGTCATCACCACCCACCGCCAACTCTTGGGCTACTTTTTTACCAACGAGTAGTGGGATTGACCGTTACGTTATAACGCCCCCACGGCTGAAAGGGCGAGCATGTTTGGTGTGACGGGAATTCGAACCCGCGACCCTCAGATTGCGATTCGAGCGCCCTAACCACCTGGCCATGGGTACAGCACTGATAGCCTGTTCTTCAGCTTTGTGTTTAATAATAAATAAACAAAAAATAACATTTTATTACCAAAGCTTTTTCAATTTGATTTTATTAACATTATTTTCGTTGTCTGTGATCTTAAAATTCTTTACTCCAAACTCAGCAGTAAGTCTGAGGGCTTATAACGCTAAAAATCGGGTTTCGATACCCTAGGTGGGCAGAGCATAGATATTCCATTGCGTATTTTTGTGTTTAACAACAAACAAACAAAACATCAAAACTGGTGTTTGTTATGTGTGAAGTGTTAAAGAATACATTATCTACATCGTTACCTAGGTTACCTTTACTACGTAAATGGACGGCCATATTTAAATTGTAGATACAATTTTATATTGACTGAGTGGGCTTTTGTTTTTACAAGATTTACGAAATACGTCAGTGTTAAAACCTCCCTCTTTTCAACTTATCTAAAAATTAAGTGTTTATTTTCATATAATTACCATGATTTTAAAACAACGGCACCAATGTGTAGGTGAATGTTGGTCTCTGTTCTCTATGTTAAATCACATACAGTTCACAATGCTCTGGAGTTCTTATGCGTAACCCTCTGTGCTTAAGAATTTCACTTTTAAAATAAAATCTACTTAAAAATATTTCGAATGCAAGGCTGTACGAAGTTTGTTTTTTTTCAGTTTTTATAAATCAATTCATATTCTTCATTAAATGTCTCATGTTTTGTTGTCGCGGTTCAATGCTATATCAAAACGGTTTTGTTTTTTGTCTTAGCTATTTAGAGTAGTTATAAACTCCACAACATTTTTAACCGCGTCTTTCTTGCTCATAATATTTATTTGTTGAATTCGCGCAAAGCTACTCGAGGGCTATCTGCGCTAGTCATTCCTAATTTAGAAGTGATAGACTAGAGGGAAGGTAGCTAATAAACACCACTCACCGCCAATTCTTGATCTACCGTTCACCAACGAATAATGGAATTGACCATCACATAACGCATTCATGGTTGAAAGGGCGAGCATGTTCGGTGGCGGGATACTACCAGGCCATTTATAGAATAATGGTTTAACTAGCTACATTAATAAAAGGTTGTAAGTACAAGGCGATTTTCAATGTGATCTTTATTTTCGTTTGAAGCGACATCTGTTACTAACTCTTAAACATATAATAATGGCTGGAGACGGCTTGAATGGGTAATGAAGAAAAACTTTAATATAACAGCAAATGTACAACGTTTCGACAAGGTTTTGTCATCATCAGGTACCTTGTCGAAACGTTGTACGTTTAGTCGTGGAGGCAAGGCACACAGGGAG